TAGTCGCTTAGTCGTAGTACGTAGTCCCGTATCGTAGTCGTAGTCGGTAAGTCGTAGTCCGTAGTCGTAGTCGTAGTCGTAGTCGTATCGTAGTCGTAGTCGTAGTCGTAGTCGTAGTCGTAGTCGTAGTCGTAGTCGTAGTCGTAGTCGTAGTCGTAGTCGTGCGTAGTCGTAGTCGTCAGTCGTAGTCGTAGTCGTTCGTAGTCGTAGTTCGTTAGTCGTAGTCGTAGTCGTAGTCGTAGTCGTAGTCGTAGTCGTAGTCGTAGTCGTAGTCGTAGTCGGTAGTCGTATGAATCGTTCGTAGTCGTAGTCGTAGTCGTAGTCCGTAAGTCGTAGTCGTAGTCGTAGTCGTAGTCGTAGTCGAATGAGTCGTAAGTCGTAGTCGTAGTCCGTAGTCGTAGTGCTGTTAAGATCTCGTAGTTCGTAGTTACGTAGTCGTCAGTACGTAGTCGTAGTCGTTAGTCGTCAGTCGTAGTCGTAGTCAGTAGTTGATAGATCGCTGTAGTTCGTAGTCGGTAGTCCTAAATACTGCAAATTCATCGTTATTTCACTGTTACTTAAAATTCATTACAGGGTAAGCGGTCTTTAAGTCTTTATAAGTGTGTATATATATATATATATATATTAAAAAGATAAGTGTCATGTTGGGAACAACTGTTGATAACAATTTATTTGATGTGCAGAGAAAGGGGAAATACGAAATCTCGAAATTGTTTAGCTGCATTCTTATCAATGCATACTGCTAGAAAGTTGTTTATTTTTTTAGTTTTGGGAGTTTTTTGTGGAAGTTGATTCACTAGGCTTTCGATTAAAATTCTGTTTCATTCTGTCTGAATTTTACCTCTTAGAAGTGTTATAATGCTTCAAGAGTTGCATGAAATTTTGTGAAGCTTTATTGGTGTTTTTTGAGCTTGCCTTGCCGAATGGGATTCTTTGTCAAAACTGTCTTGTAGATCTATTGAAATTTCACTTATTACTTTAATGTGAGAAAGGCATTGATCATTACAGTTGAAGGAGATGATTTGCTGCAGTGAAGTTACACACTTTCCAGGGATAATGCATTTGTACTCAGAATGCAAAACTGGTGTTGGTAACACCTTTTAGTAAACACATTTACTATATTCACCAATACTACACTAATTAGTGGAAGGATATCAAAACTGTCTGAAGGAAGCAAAGCTATTGGAACTTCTGG